TGGGGTGTGTGTATAGGTGTGGGGTGTGTGTAGTATACATGTGTGGTGTGTGTATATGTGGTGTGTATGTGTATGTGTGTAGTGTATATGTGTGGTATGTGTGTATATGTGTGGTTTGTGTATGTGTGGTGTCTGTGCGTGTGCATGGGAGGGAACTGCAGCCCTGCAGAGCCAGCCCCCCGGACTTCCCCAGCCTTGTGTGGCACTGAGGTCACTGCAGTTGGCCCTCTGTCCCGTCCTCACGCCCCACAAGGACACTGCCCAGCCTGACTCCCACTCTCTCTTGGGAAGGCTCTTTTACCGTCTGGAAAGGGTGTCATGAGATTGTCCCCTTCTCTGTACAAGACACAGCCCCAGGCGGTGCAGGTGGAGGCCACAAGGCTTCAAACCAGTTCATCCAGGTTCCAAACCCTGCTGAGAATTTGCATTTCTAAGGATTCCCAGGCGATAGCGACCCTGTAGGACAGAGTAGAACTGCCCCATAGGATTTCCAAGAAGCAACTGGTGGATTCAAACTGCCAACTTTTTGGTTAGCAGCTGAGCTCTTAACCACTGTGCCACCAGGGCTTTGGCAGTAGAGCAGTGGTTCTCAAAACTTGTTATACGTAAGAATCACCTGAGGACCTTGTTAAAATGTCGATTCAGTGTATCTGGGGTGGAAATGCAAATTCTCAGCGGGGTCCGGACCCGCAACCTGTTCAAGCCCTGGCCGCAGCCTCAGTCAGGGGGTGCCGCCCCTTCTCCTTCCAGCCCTGCCCGGCCTTAGGGGTCCTTGGGGGACCTCTAGGGACCTCTGGGGGCCAGGCCAGGAGTCTGAGGCCCTTATCAGGGTCTGTGTGGACACTTAGGACAGGCCTTCACAGCAGCCTCGGCCTCTCATGCTGCCGTGGCTCCATCATCCACTGTCGCATTTGTCCTCACATTACCTGGCAAAGCCTCTGTGACGGGGAAGCGGCTTTGTGCTCGGGGGCCCATCCTTCCAGTGTGCTCTTTCTGCCAGCGTCCATCATCTGCCCGCCCTTCCCTGCCGTTTACGGCCACCCGGGGAGGCAGCGGATGTTTATGAGCCACAGCGCACCTCCCGGACCCTTCTCGCCTCTGATCCGAGGTTTTAGAGGGCCTAACAAGGATCCTCCTGCCGAAATGCAGCTCATCTGTCTTTTTAGAAAGGAGGGTGAGGTTGTGGGAAGGTTTAACTGGCACTGAAGCCCCACCTCACGGGGGTGTTTGCCGCTGGGATGCAGGGCAGGTGACGGCCTTGCCGCCTGGTGGGGGCGTGGAGCAGCCAGGCTGCCGTTCACACGGCACGGCCGTGACTCAGTTCTCCTGGCCCCCCGGACCGTCCTGTGACTGGTGGTCCCCCGGGCCCTCCCTGTCTCCGTCTAGGACATCCCCACGGGCGCAGACAGCTGCGTGACCAGCCTGTCCTGCGACTCACACCGCTCGCTCATCGTGGCTGGCCTCGGCGACGGCTCCATCCGCGTCTATGACAGGAGAATGGCGCTCAGCGAATGGTGAGCACCCCAGACCTTCCTGGACATGCCGTCAGCATCCACTCGGCCGCTGCCACCCCTGTGCTGGGTCCTGACTGGGCAAAATGTGGCGCTTCCCCGGGGTGTTCAAGCAGAGGGGCCTCCGCCTGCCAGCGGGGTGGCCACAGCCCCACAGCCCAGGCCCCAGAGAGCACAGGTCCCCCAAAGCCAGGTGTGGGGGCGAGGTGCAGTGTCAGAAACGGGGGGGGGTCTTGACCAGGTATGTGGCTCACCTGGAGCCCAGCAGGGCACCGCCTCCCACCCCTCAGGGTTGGGTGTTTGGAGACTTGAGGGTGGGCATAGGCTGAGCTGGGCCTGTGACTGCAGCTCTGAGTCGGCCGCTCGGCCCTGAGGCAGCGGGAACCCTGGCGCCCACTGAGGGACAGCACAACGTATGCTGGGGGGACAGGGAGTGGAGCTAAGAGGCTTTACCACCAGCCAGGGACAGTCAGGTCAGGGGTCAGGGTCAGGGAAGGTCAGGTCGGGGCGAGGGTCAGCAACAGTCAGGTCAGGGGCCAGGGTCAGGAAAGGGCAGGTCGGGGCCCAGGGTCACGGACAACCAGGTCGGGGCCCGGGGTCCGGGACAGCCAGGTCAGGAGTCAGGGATGGCCAGATCGGGGCCTGGGGTCAGGGGTGCTTAGATGAGAAATGGGCTTCTGGGCGAACAAGCCCATTAACCGATGTCCTGGCAGGAGGCCCAGTGCGGAGGGCCAGAGCACAGCGCATGGTACACATGTGTGCCAAGGGGAGGCCCTGGGCCCCAAGACCCTCGTGGTGGGGGGACAGGCTGAGCTGGGCTCGAGAGACCTCAGGCTGGGATGACAGTGAAGACTTGGGCCGTCCAGGGGGAGGGTACACCACGGGCAGGGTATAGACCAAAGGAGGGGTAGTCTGTGGAGAACAGAGAGGCTGGCCTGGCCATCGTGAGCACACAGCCCTGCCTCCCAACCCTGGCCCAGCTGCCCCGTGAGCCCGCGTTGCTTCAAGCATACGCCCGGTCCCTGATTCAACCGAAGTCAAACGCCGTAGCTCCCTGCAGCTCATCTCCATCCCACGTGACCACGGGTCAGGCCACTGCAGCCAGCACGACCGTCCACCCAGCTCAGAGCTTTGGTGGGAGAGGTCACGCCAACCCCACCTACCCACCTCAGTCATCCTCCCACCCAGCCCTGCGCCCCCCATCCGCTCAGCCCTGACCAGGCCCTGTGCCCCCACCTGACTAGGCCCTGCACCCCCCACCTGACCAGGCCCTGCACCCCCTGCCCACTCATCCCTGACCAGACCCTGTGCCCCTCACCCGTCTCTGGAC